GGGGTGTTGGGCGTAAGGGGGGGGGGTCGCAATAGGTAATTTGTGCGGGTAATTTGTCCGATGGTGGGAATGATTGTGTGATTAATGGGCGAGCGGTTGTGGTGTGGGGGGTGAGAGTGGTATGGATAGGGCAGGGTACGAAAAGGGCTGGATCCAACTCGAATTCTTCGCTACTGATTGCCTGCTTTTGTCTCGTAGCGGCCCGGACTTCTACATGCTGCGTTCGAACGATTCCTTTTACGGCCCAATGAGAGTAGACTCGTTGAAGCTATCGCTTGTTCATAATCTCTCCCGTGTCGCGACCTTCGTCCTTCACTGGGACTCCACTTGGAACCCGTTGAAGGCCCTCGCACCTCTGTCGAGCTTTTGTCACTTTCGCGTCCTTCACGCTTGATCACGGATGGGGTTGTCTTGCGAGTGTTCTTACCTTATAATAGAAGGGAGCGAGTCCGACCTTAATGTGGAACGGTGATGATGAAGATTCGATCCTCCGCTCGTCACTTCTGGTACCTCGCTCCTCTTGGTTTGTCGGTTTCTTCTTGGTGGTCACCCCTCTCAATTGGTCTTTGTCCTTCCTCTCTCTCCCTCGCCTCCTCTCTCCCCGGGATACTTTGTCCTCTTTCCTTTTTTGGACTCCACTGTTCCCTAGTCTTGTTCTTTGCTCCGTTTCCACTCTTCTCTCCCCGGCTGAGATACTTCCCCTCCCCTTGTATTTCGTCCCGATATTGCTCTCTTTTTACTCTACTCACATCATCATCATTCCTTCTTTGTCCTTGTGTCGCGTTGCCCCTTCTTTCTTTCTTGTCTCTCTCCTTCGCATAATTCCTCCTGCCCTATACTTCCGTACGCTACACCCTAGGGCGTGGCGAAGCGTGTTTCGTTCCTGCCTTCCTCTCGCCTCGTGTCCTGCCTGATTCAAAAATTCGTTTCCGTGCAGGCACGCGGTGTTTTCGCGCCTTCGCGCTCAATGTCGGGTCCCAGGGAGCGTGTTTGCGTTAGCGTGTGCGCTCAGTCACCCTTCTTCTCATCAATTGATTTTTGTGATACACTAACATGCCAGTCACTTCAATTTATTTTTTTATTTTTTTTTTTTAAGCAAAAAAAAACTTCACTTTCAAGAGAGCCATATCCAAGCCGCCAGTCAGGCTGATTCAGTTTCCCAATGAGTTGCTTGAGCTTCTCTGACTCTGAATCTGGCCCTCACTGTAAACTGGCTCTGGCTCATATTGTGGCTCAGCTCTAGCTTCGGCTGTGGCTCTAGCTATTGTTTGGTTTAAGTGGCCGCCTAACTTTTTCTGCACTATTGCTTCCTCACTTTGATTTGCACCCAAAGATAAGACTAGTTTTATCCTAAACCAGGGCAGGATGACCTGCATTGGTCGAAGGGCCATACCAGACCAGATCCAATTGGTTCAAAGGGTAGACCAAAGTGCATCATCCAGTTGCTGTCTACCTATTGCATTCACCATCAGGCACCCTATCGTTTCTCAATTCCTGCAGCGAAGGAATTTAAACGTAAGCTTGAGGAGCTCGTTCCGTTGGGTTTCATCAAACCCAGTTCCTCACCTTGGGGTGCACCCGTCCTCTTTCTTCATGAAGGAGATGGTACTCTTGAACTCTACATTAATTACCCTGGTCTTATTGTACACGGTTAAAAACAGAGAGGTGGTGAGTTGTTTAGTCGTCTGGCAAGACACCACTTCTTTACGAAGATTGATCTTCATAGCGGTTACCATCTGATCCGCATAATTGCAAACGATCAGCCTAACTGTTTGGCAGGATACCACTTCTTAAAGCACTAGTACCTTTCCCGCGTGGGAAAATAGGGAAAACTGGCAGGTTTCCCAAGCTCCTGAATCTTCGGACGTCGGGTCCGACGACGACTGCCTTTGATAAATCTGATCGGCGGCCGTCATGTCGCTTCGGCCTCTGGAAAGGTCGGACGCCTACCCGAGGCCCGCTATTTTCCCAAGCGGGAAAGGTACTGGTGGTTTAACGAAGATTGATCTTCGTAGTGGTTACCATTATATCCACCTAGGTTAAGAGGACGAATCGAAGACCGCCTTCCGATCGCATTTTGATCATTTTGAGTTCACGGTGATGTCATGTGGCCTTACCAAATACCCACTACCTTTCACATGGCGATGAACAACATTTTCAAAAACCTCCTTGAAAAGGTTGTTCTCATGGATGACATCTTGATCTAGAGTCGTACCTTAGAGGAACATCCGGCACAAGCCAATTTCTTAACACATCAGTTTCGAGCAAGGTTTACATATAGACAACGCAAAATCATTGCTACACCTTTCCATGAGAACACCTATTGTGCCCTTAACAAGTTTATGACTTGTGCGCCTATTCTTCATCCCCCTGACTTTGGTTGTCCTTTTTTCCTTACTATCGACGCATCAGATGTTGTTGTACGGGTTGTCCTTTCCAAAATGTTTCCCTCCTCTAGTCTTGAATCCATTCCCCGTAGTCCTCATTCCAGCCCTCTCTTTGTTGACCGCTCTTCCCAATTGACATCTACTTGTTCCCCACTTCCCTCCACTAACAGTCCACCTATCTCCTACTCTCTTACTATTGTAGAGGATGAAACCAGCAAAGCCCGCACTAGGAAGCGTCTTATTGCTTTCTATACCCATCAGTTGAACCCGGTCAAGATAAAACAATACAATTAATAAATGTCATGTTCTCACTTTAGTTTATGTCACTTGGCATTGCGCCACTATCTGCATGGGCAGCACTTCAACATCATTACGAACAACTCCGTCGTCGTGGGTTTCCTTGTGAAAATCAAATGTACACCTTGGGAGTTATACTGGTTGTCTGAGTTTTTCGAGTTTACCTTCTTCGTTCATCACTTTGAAGGGAAGTCGAGCCGAGTAGTGAACACCTTGTCCCGCCATGCAGACCTTCACGTACCGAGATGCCTTCAATGTCGATCACCATCATTGATAATTCAGTCATTCATACGTACCGCATTCATTGCCCTCATTGGTCAAACTTTTGTGATATTAACTTGCAAATACACAGTGCTTTCGTGAGACACAACCACGTGTATGTGTTTCGTCAATCGACCAGTTCTCTGCTCCTGTGATAGCCAACTTCCACGTTCAACAGACTGCATGTCATCTAGGTTTCCAAAAACCTATGATCATGTCTCCGCCCTCTACGATTGGCCTCATTGAGTTAAGTTTAGTTCAAGCTACATCCATGAGTGCTACACTTATCATGTGGCCAATAGTGTGAACCACCATCCGTATGGGTTACTACTTTGTCTTCCCATACCAACTTTTAGCATTAGCAATCAATCTCTATGGACTTCATTGGAACCATCCGTCACACTAATAGTGGTTGCGATGATATCTTGGTTGGTCTACATCGACTCATGAAGCGGGCATATTTTATCTCAAGCCATGATGGTAGTGACGCCTTTATGATTGCCGACCAATTCTTTGAATGAGTTGTAGTTTTCCATCGCAGTCCTAAGGACATTGTATGTATTGTTGCATTGTTCCCAGCTCAACTTCTCGTCCTACCATTCTCAAAAGGATGAACAAAATAGGATCACCAACAAAACTTTGGTAACATTCTCCAAAAGTTTGTTCTTGATAACTAGCCGATCGGACTTGCACTTACTGCACATGGAGATCACCTACAACCACACTATACCTTATTACTTTGACCTCGGCTATCACCCTCGTGGGGCCATGGATTTTCTTCGACCATTGCAAATTCATACTCATTGTCATGCCTTGAACAAGTGGATTGTCTGTTGCTATTTTAAACCGCACATGCTAGAATATAGGTATTGCCCAAAACCATATAGGCGCTTGAGCCAAAGCATCACGAATAGATCATCCATTCAAGGTCGATGATGACGTATTTGTCCGCGCTTACCACTTACAGTTAGTAAGTGGATACGCTTCGCAAGTTCTGGCGTTGCTTTTCGAACCACGTCGTATCCTCCAGATCGTTGGCCCTGATACCACAAATAATCCCACCAACTTCCATGTGAAGCTACTTCACGTACATGATGTTTATCACATCTCCTTATTGTGTCGTTACTACAGACCGTCCAAGCGATTTGCCACACGCCCTTACACGCAAACGCCTTCCATCATGATGGACAATCATGAGGCGTTCGTTGTTTCCAACATTGTATCTCCTTGAATGACCAACGGCATCCCTCCACCATTGACTATCTTATGCATTTGAAGGGCTACCATCGAGTATCTTATACATTGGAAGGGTTATCCTGATAAAGACACTAACCCCCCCGAGAACTTGCCTATCCCCATTGAGGTCGTTCTTCAACTGCAAATGAATACTAGCTCACATCCACACCGCTCTCAAGGCCACCCAGAGTCCTACGACGACAGATCCTCTATTCACCTCACTTCTCTCACACAAACGAGGAGGTACTACCATCTTATGCATTTGAAGGGCTACCATTGAGTATCTTATACATTGGAAGGGTTATCCTGATAAAGACACTAAGCCCCCCGAGAACTTGTAGCATGTTGTGGGTTCTATACGTGCATATGATCATGCTCATTGTGCTGAGACGTTTGCTCATCTGACACTACTAAGCCCCTCCCGGGTCAGAATAGTGCACCTGCCTATCCCCATTGAGGTCGTTCTTCAACTGCAAACGAATACTAGCTCACATCCACACCGCTCTCAAGGCCACCCAGAGTCTTACGACGACAGACCCTCTATTCACCTCACTTCTCTCACACAATCAAGGAGGTACTACTACTCCTTCAGCATCACTTCTTCTTAATATTAGCGATTTGGCGCTTCAACATCAACTCTTACTTCATCGACTTTAGTTGCTTCATCTGCCGCATCTACTTTTGGGCATGACTATTCCACGTCGTACATATTTTTTGGGTGTGGCATGATGGTTCTCCCTGCACCACATCAGCTAGTTCCCCCGACTTGCCTTTGTCACATGTAGGCATATGGGCTGAATTGTTAGCTTGGCTCGTCACTGTCTAGCTCCCCATCTTGTTTGTGGAGTGTTGTACATTACCTTCTTGCCCATTGCATCTTATCCCTTTTGTCGGCTTTAGTCTTTATATAAGAAATCATTCATGTTCCAGACTCCCCTTCCCTTATAGACCGTATACAAAGTCGCCAAGATTTCCGAGCATTACCCGCCGTGATGGTTGCTTTGTTAGGGCCATTGCTTTTGTTTTGCATCACCCATACCCTACCCTTTGTTCTGTGTAACTGTCCCCAGGAATTTCGATTGTTAGGCTGCATTCAGCCCTCTCCCTAAGACCATCCCACTATGTGGTAACAAGAACACAACATCTTGTAACATATCTTCTGCTTTTTTGGGAGTAAGGTTGTGAGGTCGTTGGCCTCCAACACTTTTAGGATTTCCTTGTTGTTATTAGTTAGCACTTCCATTTATTTGATTCTTGTTGTTAGTTACGATTTGTACGTCAGACATTTTTTTTTTTGTTCATGGACATTATGTAGCTTAGGCTGCATTGCGTGTGCCAATAACCCCAGCCCTGGCCTTGTTAAAGGACCACTACCTTTGCCATGCATCGGCCCCATGCGAGGGCCCACGAGTTTGGAGGCCAGTAACGCAAGAAGGCTACCGATGAGCGGCCCAACGGCAGCCCAACGGTGGCCCGTTCCCCGGAAAATGCGGTATAGGCTATCTTCCCATTTGGGACGTCTCAAAGGTAGTGGAGGTTAAGGAAGGGGAGGGGGGGGGGGGGAGAGAAGGCTGCACTGCATGTGCTTCGCATGGAGCTTGCTCCGGATCCTAGATGATTCTAGCGTAGCCATCACCGAGTTCCGC